ACCAGCAGTTAACGTAATGGCTATGTCACTGGACTCCCACATAGTCGATCGCGGTTCGAGTCCCAGACCCGGTGGCTTAAACTCACACTGGGCACATGTGCATGTGTGCCCAAGATCCCGAGAGGAGAATGGAGGAAAAGGGATTGTGGCATGGCCATTCCCCCTGGGGGTGATTTCTCGTTTTCTGTCTCTCTGTCTCTCTCTGTCTTTCTGGTGAGCACATGCGCCCTATAGCAAAACAAACAAACAAACAACAACAAAAAAACTCTCCAAAAAAAAAAAAAAAGTAAGTATTGGAGGGGCCAGTAGGTGGTGTGGTGGTTAAAGGTGCTGGATTCCCACATGGCTGACCATGGTTTGAATCCTGGTCCTGGTGGCTTGCTTTCTCACTTTCCCTGTCTCTCTCTCTCTCTCTGGTCAAATTAAAAATTAATAATAATAACAAATGGAATTAAATAAATGAATAATTTTTTTAATTTATTTTATTTTATTTTTAAAAATTTATTCCCAAGCACTGGGACCAGCAGATGGCATAATTGTTATGTCACTGGACTCCCATGTAGCCAACCACAGTTCAAATCCTGGACCTGACAGCTTAAAATTAACTCTGGGTGCATGTGCGTGTGCCCAAAATCCCAAGAGGAGAATGAAGGAGAAGGGATTGCAGCGTGGCTACCCCTCCCCCAGGGGGGTGATTTCTTGCTTTCTGTCTCTCTTTCTTTGTCTCTCTGGTGAGTGCATGCACTTTATAGCAAAAATCTCCCTAAAAAATAAAAAGAATCCATCAGTGCCTTACAGACACTGTCACCTTTCGACTAACTGCTGTAGGCCTAGCAGTCTTAATATTTTACTGCCTGCATAATTTTTAGAATAGTTTAATTTTATTTGCTTATATTTCCTTTATATGTATGCAGAAAATAATATAAAATAAAACTATGTTTAAATAAGTCTAAAGGGCATTTCAATACACAAAATATTGTATTAAATAAATGAAATGAAAATCATAAGTGATAAGAAACCACTGTGTCTTAGTCTAATTAGCAGTATACTTTCTTTGTAGTCAGCAAATAAGGATGCACTTTTACTTAGGATTATTTTATTTGTTATTATTATTACTATTATTTTTCAATTTGACCAGAGAGATACAGAGAAAGGGACAATGAGAAAGCAAGTCACCAGGTCCAGGACTCTAACCACAGTGGGCCATGTGGGAGTCCAGCGCCTTAACCTCCACACCACCTGCCCCAGCCCCACCAGTTTGATTTTATAATATTATCTTCCTAGATGTGCCTAAAGTGAATTAAAATGACCTCCTGATTTTGGAGACACTCGTCTGACAATTGGAAGCCACTGCCCTGGTGGGCGATCCTGTGTCTGGGCTCCTTGATAGAACAGTCGGCACCACAGCCCCAGTCTGGGGCAGGCTGCCGGGGAGGCTGCCCTTGTCCTCTGACCCCTCAGGGCTTCTCAGGCTTCTGCAGAGAATGAGCAGGGGGAGAGGCACCTGGGCTGCTGCTCCTTGCCTCTGAATGACCGGGAAGCTGTGTGTCATTCTGAGTCACTCAGGGTTGGCCCAAACCGCCACCTCTTCTCCCCACCCCTCACCCAGGTGGTCTGAGTTTTTTCCTCTCCCTAGAAGGAATCAACCACTTCTTTCCCTTTCTCCAGGATTCTTCCAGATCTACAACGCCCCCCCCAACACCCCCCCCACCCAGAGTTGCTGATCTGAAAGTGTTCACTTTCAGCATTCCAGTCCAAACTGGCTCTTTCTGGTAAAAATGCCCCAGCCATTGGCTGTCCCCTTGGGCTCCGAGATATTCTGATAGGGGCCAACTCCTCTCGCATACAGGACATTCCCTCAGTGAGCACTCACGGGGACAGGGTGGGCCCTCGGCCTTTGCCCTGGAAGCTCCTCCGGGGCCTTTCACCCTGCTCCTCCCTGACCTTACAGCCTTCATATTTCACAGCCACTTGACCTTCGCCAGTATCTGTCCTTCCAGGCCACCTGACACCTTGCAAGCCTCAACTCTTGTTCCCAAACCTGAGGAAACCTTCCAGTACAAACAGCTAAGCACATGGAGTAGAAGCGGCTGGACCGAAAGATCTAAAGCGAGGATACTGTGGCCCGCATATTTGAAGCCCGTGTGCAGAGGGTTTCATGTGGAAACCTCACCTGATTGTGGAAGAGCATCAATAAAGGCAGAAAAGTGCTTCTCTAAATCCTCCAGGTCTGAGAACGGGCGCTGGGACCAGACAGCAGCTGCAACCAGAGGACACCTCTCGATGACGTTCCCGAACACATCCACGAATTCCCCGAAGTCCATGGCGTTGACCTTCTCCATGTCCATGGCTGGCGCCCGACGAGGCAGCAGCACGTAGGGCTCCCCTCTCCGTGAGTGAGTGACGCCCACTCTGCTCATTGTGCAACCCCGGCTTAGCATGTTTTCAACGCCTCCGTAAGCCAGGCCGCTTGTGCAATGAGCAAACACAGGCTCAGGGTTCCAGTCCAGGGAGCCGAGATCTCTGGTGGACGTCACCAGCCGAACTTCCTGTAACGCAATCCAGCAGGGGCCGTATTTCGCTCTGAGTAACGGAGTCACACACACTTTGGGTGTCTTTAACATTATCATGACCCCAGGGAAGCTTTCCCTGATATTTCAGACAGGTCAGGGTCTACCTACGATGAACTTGATTTCTCATCTGCCATTGTTAGGACAGGAACTAAGTTTTATTCTTTCTTTGTGTTCCCCAGGTGCTTAACACAATTGGTACTTAGTAAATGGTCAGGGGCTCAGCTAGGAGCAAGAGCACCCAAAATCCTGAGAGGAGAATGGAGGAGAAGGGAATATGGCGTGGCCATTCCCCTTGGGGGTGATTTCTCACCATCTCTTTCTCTCTTCCAGCAACACACATGCCCCATGGGTGCCTCCCAGGGGGAGGATGGCTACAGCCACAATCTCGTCTTTATTCTAGTGCCCACACACAGTGTGGTTTTCAAGTCACCAGGTCTGGGATTCGAACTAGTCGTGTGAGATCCAACCACCTTAACCACCATGCCACCAGCTGGCTCAGTAATGAAGTTTTTAAAAAGTGGGACGAAAGAGGATCTGACAATATGTTGGTCAGCGCTGGGAACATGACAGGGCACATCAAAAGCACACCTGTTGCCAGTCAATAAACAGCTGAATACTGAATAGAGGAATTGAGGTTATCTACAGAGAGGGTTGTTTTTCCTTCTAACCTCAGACTGACTTTTCCTTTAATTCTGCTACTTAAAATTTGCCACCATTCCAGAGGGCAAAGGTGAGGAATGACCTCAACCCTGTTGCCCAGGGCAGTTACAAAACAATAGTGCCCGGGCGCCACCTACTGGCAAAGTAACTACAAAGGCCTGGCAGGAGGCGTTGCCCCAGCAAAACAGCAACACTTCAGAATCAGTGCTTGTGAGCTGTGTTCTTACACCATGTGAAGAAAGAAATGGGAAGTTAGGGTAGAATACAGTTCGCTCGGAATCAAAACGACGTCTGTGGTAGGAGTCGGGCTTAATGTGATATTTATTAATGGATGAATAGAGTCTAATTTCACTGTCCCTCAAGAGCTTGAGTGCTATGATTATGCAGAAAACGTTGCATTTTAAATATGACACTTGGCACATATAGTAGATATGCTATAAAGTACCATATATGAAAAACACCTGTGAACTCCCATCAACCTGACCCAGGGAACTAAATTTTTTTTTTTTAAGAGGTTTTCGCTACAGGGCGCGTGCGCGCACCAGACAGACAGAGAGAGACATAGAGACAGAAAGCAAGAAATCACCCCCCGGGGGGGATGGTCACGCCGCAATCCCTTCTCCTCCATTCTCCTCTCGGGATCTTGGGCACGCACGCACACGTGCCCGGCGTGAGTTTTAAGCCACCGGGTCCGGGATGTGAACCGTGGTCGACTACGTGGGAGTCTAGCGACATAGCCATTATGCTAACTGCCGGCTCCCAAGAGAACTAAATATTTAGAAATCACCAGTGTGAAAAAACAGTGGTAATTGTATGTCCACCCGGCATATCCATATAACAAAGAACTTCAGCCTCATGTAGTAACACCTGGATGAATCTTGGTAGCATAACGAGGTTTTTTTTTTCTTTTGAGAGAGAGCAGAATCTGGGGGTACACACCACAAGCTCTTCTCCTCCATTCTCCTTTTGGGATCTTGGCCATTCACGCACATGTACCTGGTATGAGTTTTAAGCCACCTGGTCTGGGACTCAAACCACGGTCGACTATGTGGGAGTCCAGGGACATAACCATTACACCATCTGCTGGCCCCAACATGCATTTTTGACAAGCAGTTTAAGATGGCTTACCAAGTGCCTGTGATTCTATTTCCTCCTCAAATCCTGTCAGGATAATAGAAAAGTAAAAATAAAACAGTATGGGGGCCACAGGTGGCATGGTGGTTAAGGGCGCTGGACTCCCACATGGCTGAGCACAGTTCAAGTCCCAGACCTGATGACCTGCTTTCTCACTTTCTCTCTCTCACTCTGTCCCTCTCGGGTAAAATTCAAATAAGTAAATAAATAAAGTAAAATAAAATAATTATTAAAAAATAAGTAAAAATAAAACAATACAGCACTCAAAGCTAGAAAGACTGCTGCAGACCAAAAGGAAGCGGTGTTTCTAAGAAGGTGACACAGACGCTACCACAGGATGAACCTTGAGAACGCTATGCTTAGGCAAACGTCAGACTTGAAGGGGCAAAATGTTCCACGATCCCGCTTGCATTAGCTACCTACAGTAGTCAGACTCAGAAACCGAAAGTACAGTGGCGGTTACCAGGGACGGAGGCAGGAGGAACGGGGAGTTTTTTGTTTTGTTTTTTAAAGTAGGTACAGAGTTTCAGATCTGCAAGATGAGAAGTGTTGTGGAGATCTGTTTCACAACCACGGGAGCACACAGGACTGTATATTCGAAGACGATTAAAATGGGAACTTTTGTGCTGCCCTTTTTACTACAGCAGAAAAGTACGTACGAAAAATAAAATGCAGTAGGCCCAAGAGCAACCTCAAGGTAAACGCTAGCAGGGCATGAAGGGGGAGGTGGTTGCACAGTGGTAAAGTGATGCTGCCCGGCCCAAGTGCAGGACCTCCTTGTGTACACTGGGCGAGTGTGCCTGTGCTCTGGGGCCGGCTGAGGCTGGGGCGTGGACGGCAGCCTTGGAACCCGGCTGGGGACTTTGCTCTCTTTCTCTCGTGCATGTGCACACGCGAGTGTTCATGGAAGAAATACATTTAATTTTTTTTTTTTGGAGAATTTTTTTTCCTATAGAGCGTATGCACTTGCCAGAAAGATAGAGAGAGACAGAGAGATAGAAAGTAAGAAATCACCCCCCAGGGGGATGGCCGCACTGCAATCCCTTCTCCTCCATTCTCCTCTCGGGATCTTAGGCACACACGCACACGCACCTGGCTTAAATTTAAGTCACCGGACCCGGGACTCAAACTGCAGTCGGCTACATGGGAGTTCAGCGACATAGCCATCACGCTAACTGCTGGCCCCACCCCCAGCTCTATCCCTCTCTGCTCAAATTTAAATAAATAAATAAAGTTAAATAAAATAATTATTGGGGAAAAAAGGTGGGTCTCAGAGATTGTAAGTTATTAACATACATTTCAATATCCTCAGAAAAAATAGTGTAATGTTTAATTTTTTTTTAGAGATTTTGCCATATAGTGTGTGTGCATGTGGAAGAGACAGAGAGAGAGAAAGCAAGAAATCACTTCCCAGGGTCGATGGTTGTATCGCAACCCCTTCTCCTCCATTCGCCCCTCAGGAATTTGGGCATGCACGGACACGTGCTCAGCATTTTCTTTTCTTTTTTCTTTTTACAATTTAATTTAATTTTATTTATTGTAATTATTGTATCTTATTGAAGTTGACCAGAGAGAGACAGAGAGAGAAAAGGAAAGTGAGAAAGCAAGCTGCTAGGTTTGGGACTTGAACTGCGGTCAGACATGTGGGAGTCCAGCCACCTTAACCACCACGCCACCTGTCAGCCCGCCCTCCCCCGGCATGATTTTCAAGCTGCCAGGTCTGGGATTCGAACCACGGTCAACCATGTGGGAGTCCAGGGCCTTAGCCACTACACCATCTGCCGGTCCCAAAGTGGTACAATTTTAGGGCCTACCTCACAGGTGGCTGTGGGGTTGAGATCATGCGTAGCTGGTTCTCAGCACAATGCTTAGCACAGAACAAGGGCCCCACAAACAAGTGCATGTGGGCAGATACCGACACCTCATGAAGGACAGAAAGCACATTGGATGAGTGGCTGTTGGGAGTCTGTGGAAAAGCAAAGCTGTGGGTGTTGTGGGTGTAACATGTGTGAGTGATGGAACTGTATTCGGATAAGAAAGTGGGGAAGATTATCCTCAGGGCTGTGTAAATAAAGGGGGATTTCAGTCCGCTTCATGGCCAGGTGGTTAAGGGATCCCAAAGAGCTGACCATGAAGTTTAAGTCCCAACCCCAGTGGCTTGAAAAACATTCCAAGTGCATGTGTGTGCAGGCATGCCCCAAATTCCAGTACATGGGGAAATGGAGAGGGGGCTGTGGCACAACTGCACTCCACCGGAGGTCGCCTTGACACTCTCCCTCTCTCTCTGTCTCTGGTAAGCACACATGCCCTCTGACGTAAATATATAATGTACACATGTATTTCAAAAATGGGGATTTCACGTATTACTATGAGTAAAAATTCAAAACTACTTAAATATTTAAAAACTTAACATAGGGACCAGCAGTTAGCGTAATGGCTATGTTGCTGGACTCCCACGTAGTCGACTGTGGTTCATGTCCCGGACCCGGGATGGGTCATTAAAACTCATGCCGGGCATGTGTGCGTGTGTGCCCAAGATGCCGAGAGGAGAATGGAGGAAAAGGGATTGTGGTATGGCCATCCCCCCCCTGGGGGGCGATTTCTCGCTTTCTCTCTGTCTCTCTGTCTGGTGAGCGCACACGCCCTACAGCAAAAACCTCTCAAAAAAACAAACAAACAAAACAAAACAAAAACAAAAAAAAACAACATTGAGCATTGAAGCATTTTATGTTTTTACTTGAGTAGATAAAATATAATCGAATACATATGTTTACTGTATCCTGACTATATACACCAGTAGAAGTTAAACATATGGGGACCAGTAGGTAGCGTGATGATTAAAGGTACTGGACTCCCACAGGGCTGACCATGGTTCAAGTCCCAGACCTGGTGGCTTGCTCTCTCTCGCTCTCTCACTCTCTGTCTTTCTCTAGTCAAATTAAAATAAATGAATAGGGGCCAGTGGGTGGTGTGGTGGTTAAGAGCACTGGACTCCCATATGGACAACCACAGTTCGAGACCTGGACCTGGCAGCTTGCTTTTTCACTTTCTTTCTCTTGCTCTGTCTCTCTCTGGTCAAATTTAAATAAATATATAAATAAATAAAAGTTAAATAATTCTTTTAAAAAATGAATAAAGTTAAATAAAATAATTCTAAAAAAAAGAGTAAGTTAAGCATACCACTTGGCAGAAATCATACCTACTTTCAACTTTCTTAAAATCCAGTTGAAAGTATAGAACAGCTTGGCCCATCCATGATGGTACAGCTTCCTGAAAGGCTGGAAGCCATATGGCCAGCCTCAGGTTTGGATCACTGGGTTGGCCTGAAAAACAAAAACAAAAAACCCCTAGACATGCATGAGTACCCACATGAATGCCCAGGGTTTTGAGGAGTGTAGGGTCTGGGAATGGGGGTTCCCATAAGCATGACGAGACAAAGGTGCCCACCCCCCTATACAGCAAGCTCTCCTATCATGAAAAGAAAAAAATACAACATTTACCTAAGAAGATAACAGTACAAGGTGGGTAGACTCTACATTAAGGGCCACCTGGATTGTGTAGACCAGAAACCCTGACGGGAGTTCAGTGGAAGAAGCACCGCTAATGAGAATGGCTCTGGGAAAGACCTGAAGACAGAGCTTAACTCTGGTCACGAACAGGAATTTAAATAGGAAAAGGAGGAGGAGTTGGCATCCAGGTGGAGGAGGTGAAGAAAAGAAAACCCAGAGGTAGGAACGGCCAAGGTCTAGCTGGCTAGAGAGACCGCGTCACACAGCTACTCCCGAGCAGGAAGCAGAGCCGGCTGTGCTGGGAAGGCAGGTTGGCACAGGCTGCCAGGCACTAGGGGCCGCTGGAGCGCTCCAGTGAGTGAGCCATGCAAATCAGTATTTCAGGAAGATGGGTCTGGCGTTGGCTTAGTGAAAGCACTGGATGAGAGAGAGACTGGGGAAGCATTAGGCGAGGAGGTTCACGGAATCTGAGCAAGTTCATGGTGTCCTGCCCTACGACAAGCTAAACTCTGAAAGGAAAACGCATATGAGAATACTGGGTCGCACACACGAGCCAGCATTGATCCAAGTGTTTTATGTGTTTTTGGACTTTTTTTTGTTAGGTTTTTGCCCCAGAGTGAGTATGCTCTTATCAGAGAGACAGAGACAGAGTGAGAGAGATAGCAAGAGAGACAGTGAGAAATCACCCCCCGGGGGGATGGCCATGCCACAATCCCTCCTCTTCCATTCTCCTCCTGGGAGTCACACACATGTGATGTTCAAGCCACCAGGTCCAAGACTCAAACTGTGGTCGACCGTGTGGGACACCTGCTGGACCATATATGTTTTTGTTCTATATTTAGATGGGAAGACTTCAACATGTTGATGGAAAACTGAAATTAAAGTATGAGTTTATTTTGATGCAAAAAAGTTGAAAATCAACACACAGGTTTTTCACAATATGCATGTTTCCGTAAACTTTTTGATGATCCCGTCATCCTTATAACCTGTGTAAGTTACATGTTTAATGTAATTTTTCTAGCGACCCTCTGAGGGGCTATAATTGTACCATGTTCCAGAACAGGAAACTGAGGCTAGAGGAGTTGAATTACTTGCCCGAGTGACATGGTTAAGAGGTGGAGGGATGAGAATCCCAGCCTCGGCAGACTGGGTCCAGAGCCCTCATCTGCCACCACTACGCAGAAGGGCGGCCAATGGAGAAGGAAGACAAGGCTGAACTTGGTGGCACCTGGCATGGAAGGAGATCGGGACAAGTCAGGTTGATAAGCCAAGGGGATGGAGGGTGCCACGTTTCGAAGGAAGGGAACTGAGAGCAAACCAAGTGATGGGGCTGCAGAGAAGAGAGCAGACACGTCACGTCAGTCATTCCTGTCTTAGTGCGGCAGGAGCCATAGACGTGTTTAAGAACCTGCTGAGGGCTAGCTCCGTAGCCTGATGGTTCAGGGAGCCAGATTCCACATGGCTGAACGCACACTTAAAATCCTGGCCTAGGAGTCTTTTTCTTTTTCGGAGAGGTTTTTGCCATAGGGCATGAGTGCTCGCTGGAAAGACAGAGAGAGAGATAGAAAGCGAGAAACCACCCCCCAGGGAGGATGGCCACACCACAATCCCTTCTCCTCCATTCTCCTCTCGGGATCTTGGGCACGCACGTACACGTGCCCAGTGTGAGTTTAAGCCACCGGGTCCGGGACTCGAACCACGGTTGACTACATGGGAGTCCAGCCAACTCCCGAGCAGGAAGCAGAGCCGGCTGTGCTGGGAAGGCAGGTTGGCACAGGCTGCCAGGCACTAGGGGCCGCTGGAGCGCTCCAGTGAGTGAGCCATGCAAATCAGTATTTCAGGAAGATGGGTCTGGCGTTGGCTTAGTGAAAGCACTGGATGAGAGAGAGACTGGGGAAGCATTAGGCGAGGAGGTTCACGGAATCTGAGCAAGTTCATGGTGTCCTGCCCTACGACAAGCTAAACTCTGAAAGGAAAACGCATATGAGAATACTGGGTCGCACACACGAGCCAGCATTGATCCAAGTGTTTTATGTGTTTTTGGACTTTTTTTTGTTAGGTTTTTGCCCCAGAGTGAGTATGCTCTTATCAGAGAGACAGAGACAGAGTGAGAGAGATAGCAAGAGAGACAGTGAGAAATCACCCCCCGGGGGGATGGCCATGCCACAATCCCTCCTCTTCCATTCTCCTCCTGGGAGTCACACACATGTGATGTTCAAGCCACCAGGTCCAAGACTCAAACTGTGGTCGACCGTGTGGGACACCTGCTGGACCATATATGTTTTTGTTCTATATTTAGATGGGAAGACTTCAACATGTTGATGGAAAACTGAAATTAAAGTATGAGTTTATTTTGATGCAAAAAAGTTGAAAATCAACACACAGGTTTTTCACAATATGCATGTTTCCGTAAACTTTTTGATGATCCCGTCATCCTTATAACCTGTGTAAGTTACATGTTTAATGTAATTTTTCTAGCGACCCTCTGAGGGGCTATAATTGTACCATGTTCCAGAACAGGAAACTGAGGCTAGAGGAGTTGAATTACTTGCCCGAGTGACATGGTTAAGAGGTGGAGGGATGAGAATCCCAGCCTCGGCAGACTGGGTCCAGAGCCCTCATCTGCCACCACTACGCAGAAGGGCGGCCAATGGAGAAGGAAGACAAGGCTGAACTTGGTGGCACCTGGCATGGAAGGAGATCGGGACAAGTCAGGTTGATAAGCCAAGGGGATGGAGGGTGCCACGTTTCGAAGGAAGGGAACTGAGAGCAAACCAAGTGATGGGGCTGCAGAGAAGAGAGCAGACACGTCACGTCAGTCATTCCTGTCTTAGTGCGGCAGGAGCCATAGACGTGTTTAAGAACCTGCTGAGGGCTAGCTCCGTAGCCTGATGGTTCAGGGAGCCAGATTCCACATGGCTGAACGCACACTTAAAATCCTGGCCTAGGAGTCTTTTTCTTTTTCGGAGAGGTTTTTGCCATAGGGCATGAGTGCTCGCTGGAAAGACAGAGAGAGAGATAGAAAGCGAGAAACCACCCCCCAGGGAGGATGGCCACACCACAATCCCTTCTCCTCCATTCTCCTCTCGGGATCTTGGGCACGCACGTACACGTGCCCAGTGTGAGTTTAAGCCACCGGGTCCGGGACTCGAACCACGGTTGACTACATGGGAGTCCAGCCATTATGCTAACTGCTGGTCCTATGGCCTAGGAGTCTTGAAAAGTGGGGCTGGCAGGTGGCATGGGGGGTAAAGGTGTTGGACTCCCACATGGCAGATCACAGCTTGAGTCCCGGCCCCAGCGGCTTGCTTTCTCATTTTCCCTCTCTCTCATTCTCTCACTCTGTCCCTCTCTGGTCAAATTAAATAAATAAATGTATAGATAAATAATAAAATTTAAGAAAAGAAAAAGACACTGGGTGCATATGCATGCATGCCCCAAATCCCAACAGAATTTGGAGGAGAAGGAACTACAGTGTGACCACACCCCATAGTGGGGTGCTTTCTCCCTCTTCATCTCTGTCTCTCTATCTCTCTCTAGCCAGTACTCACACCCTCTGGCAAAAAGAAACAAAACAAAAACAAAACTTGGTAAAAGAATAGGCCTTCTCAATAGGAAAAACAAACAAACAAACAAACAAACATATGTACAAATGAAACACACACAAAGTTTCAGTGGGTTCATGAACTCTAGTTTAGAGAATGCCCTAAATATGCCATGTAAATAATTCGGTAGCAAACATTTCTATAGTAGAAATTTTATTTCCATTCATAAAATATATCACTAAATAGCTGAAAAAGTTACATATTATTTTAAAACATAGATTTAAAAAAATCATATTAGCTTCTCCTTAGCAAAATGCTTTTGTTGTATGTATTTACAAGAATACACTATACTTTAGGTACACAATGTTCACTCGAGCCAGCGTGGGGCCTTCGGACGCAGGTAGATACTCCGATAAGTTGGCTATCAGTGCTTTCTGCCTTGTGCGCAAGATGTTTGATATTACAAAAGTCCCTTTAAAAAAAAAAAAGAGTAAATGCAGACAGCATTCTAGAGAAAAGTCTGGCAAAGCAGCAGTTGATAATATATTTTCTTTTTGTGATAAAATTAATCTTGTTTTGGTAATCTACAGCCTGTTTAAGGTAGGTGGAGGGATGAAGTCCTCAAGATGAAATCATTTCTCCTATGAATCTTCAGCCTGAGCCTGTGGAGAGGGCGGCTCTGAACCTCGCTCTCTGCTGAGAGCTCGCCTATTTTGGTAGACGGAGGGACGTTCCGAAGCACGGCCGTCCATGTTCTGATACATCTGCAAATGGCAGAGAGAGAAAACAGATTATCATCTGATTAAGACAACTTACAGGTTGTGTGTCTGTGTCATACGTTAACTATTTAAACAAAAACTATTGTTTTGTGCAGATAATTATTTTTATTATGCTTAGGTCTTAAAAGACCTACGCATTGGGGCCAGCAGGTGGCGTGGTAGTTAAAAGTGCTGCACTTCCACATGGCCGACTGCGATTCAAGTCCTGGAACTGGTGGCTTGCTTTCTTACTTTCCCTCTCTCTCTGTCTCTCTGATAAAACTAGAAAATAATAATAACAAATCAAGTTAAATAAAGAAATGTTAAAAATCTACACATTAATTGACAAAGCAATTTTGGTATGTTTATTGATGGAGAAGTCATGTCATAGCAAAGTGAAATCACTCCTATCCATACTCCTCCATTCTCAGGATCTTAAGCACACACGCACATGCTCCTGGCGTAAGTTGCAAGCTGTCAGGTCTGGGACTCAAACTGTAGTCAACTACGTGGAAGTCCAATGACATAACTGTTACACCATGCGCTGGTCCCTGGCTGTCTTTTTTTTACATTTAAATTTATTTATTTCTTCCACATGAGACAAAAAGAGAGAGAGAGAGAGAGAGACAGGCTCCTGCAGCATGGTTTCAACGCCATGATCCACTCCCAGGCTCAGCCAGCCTGGATCAGGAGCACATGCACACCTGGGGTGCTCAGGGAGGTCTCTGGCTAGGGGACACACGTGTGAGATGTGATGCACATCACCAGGCTGGCCTTTAGACCTTCAACATAATCCAAAACAGAACGCACGGTCCTATTCTACTCCTACTGGTCGCGTCTGGGGACCGTTTTCTCCAGAGCCTTCCCACAGTGGGCATTTGCTTTTCTTTTTTTAAGGTTTTTGCCATAGGGTACATGCACTTGCCAGAGAGCGAAATGGAGAGAGACAGAGACAGAGGGAGACAGTGAGAGGGAAAGTGAGAAATCACCCCACACATATACACAGGAGACGGCCATGCCACACAACTTATGCCAGGTGTGTGTATATATGAGTGTCCAATCCTTCCTCCTTTCTCCTCCTGGGATTCTGAGCACTCATGCACATACGCCTGGCATAAATTTCAAGTCGCCAGGTCTAGGACTTGTATCGTGGTTGACCACGTGAGAGTCCAGATCTTAACCACTAACCCAGTGAGAATTTCTTTTTAAAGAGAGATTTTCAAAAAATAATTATTTTATTTTACTTTATTTATTTTAATTTGACCAGAGAGAGGAAAAGAGGGAGAGAAAGTGAGAAAGCAAGCTGCCAGTTCTGGGACTCGAATCAGTCAGCCATGTGGGAGTCCAGTGCCCTTAACCGCCACGCCACCTGTCGGCCCCTTAAGAGAGATTTTTGCTAAAGGGTGTGTGTGCTTGCCAGAAAGACAGAGAGAGACAGAGACGGAAAGCGAGAAATCACCCCCCAGGGGGGATGGCCATGCCGCAATCCCTTCTCCTCTGTTCTCTTCTCGGGATCCTGGGCATGCACTCACACACCGGATCTGGGACTTGAACTGTGCTCGACTACTCGGAAGTCTAGTGACGTGACCAGTACGCCACCTGTTGGTCCCATCAGTGGGTATTAACAATCCTTCAAAGGTCTGCCCCGTTGGCAAGCAACAAATTTTATCTCCTTACCTGCATGTTTCCTGATAAGCAAAGTTCAGCATCTTTTTCTATAGTTAATGATCATTTGCGTTTCATTGTGAATAACTTGTTTATTTCCTTTGCCCTTTTATTTTCCTTTGTCCCAAACATAAAAGCTTATACAGGTTGAATATCCCTATCCAAAATACTCGGGAGCAGAAGAGTTTTTTATTTCTATTTTTTTTTTGTTTATTTTTTGATATTTACATATATTTGGTCATCAGAAAAGTCAAGACTCATTTTTGATAGAAAAGCAGAAAAATATTTCAACTTTTCCGATGACCCAATACATAATGAGATATTTTGTGGCTGAAACTCAAGTCTAAACGCAAAACTCACTTGTCTTTTATACAGACTTTATACACAGAGCCTGAGGTAATTTAACACAAATTTCTTTTTTTTTTTTGGCGGGGGGAGTGTTTTGACCTTGTTCCATCAGGTGAGGTCAGGTGGAATTTTCTATTTGTGGCTTCATGTCAGTGCTCAGAAAGTTTTGGATTTTGGAGCAGTTTGGATTTCAGATTTTTAATTAGGAAAGCTCAACCTGTACACGTTTCTCTTATTATTTATAAAAACTTTTGTGATTTAGGGATCATGTATTCTGTTTATTTATATTTTACAGGCTCCTTCCCTTTCCCCACTCCCCATCACTCTTTCTTTCTTTCTGTTTGTGTTCTGATAGTCAGTTATACTGTTAACTGTAAGAGGCAGAGGCTAGAATATCCCCCACTCTTCATTTTTCTTTCTGAAAAACCATACCTTTATGAATCAAAACATCTGAATTATAACCCTCGTGCTGCACAATGACAGCTTTGTCAATGCCCTCAAGGGTAACTCTTTATACACGCTTTTAAAAACATTTATTTATTGGGACCAGCAGTTAGCGTGATGGCTATGTCTCTGGACTCCCATGTAGTCGACCACAGTTCGAGTTCCAGACCCGGTGGCTTAAACTCATGCCAGGTGTGTGCGCGCGCACCCAAGATCCCGAGAGGAGAATGGAGGAGAAGGGATTGTGGCGAGGCCATCCCTCCTGGGGGGTGATTTCTCTCTTTCTTTCTCTCTGTCTCTCTCTGTCTTTCTGGTGAGTGCACGTGCCCTATAGCAAAAACCTCTAAAAACAAACCCCCCCCCACATTTATTTATTTACTTAATTTTATTTGTCATAATAATCATTATTAATTTGACCACACAGAGACAGAGAGATAAAGAAAGGGAAGGTGAGAAAGCAAGCCTCCAGGCCTGGGATTTAAATTGTAGTCAATCATGTGAAAGTCCAGCGCCCTAACCACTATGCTACCTGCTGGCTCCCACCCATGTTTTTATGAAGTAGACATATAGTTAAGACCCCCTGGACCTGCTGAATTCAGATATATATCTTCAGCACTGAATTTCTAACCATCTAATGACATACCACAAACACTGGGAACGCTGCACATGCAGCACATCCACACCTGCCATTCACAGTCTAGAAGTGTCAGAACCATCTCCGACTCCTCAGTCTCCATCCCCACAGCCAATTGCTTACTGGGTCTAGTTATAATATATGTCTCCTTTTTTTTTTCTTAAGAATGATTTATTTAATTTTATTCATTCATTCATTCATTCATTTTAATTTGACCAGAGAGAGACACAGAGAGAGAAAGAAAGAGAGAGAGGGGAAGTGAGAAAGCAAGCTGCCAGGTCCAGGACTCAAACCATGGTCATCCATGTGGGAGTGTACAGCACCTTAACCGCCACGCCACCTGCTGATCCCTGATACATCTCTCCTTTTAATGTCTTCCTTTCCATTTCATTTCATTTCTTTCTTTATTTATTTTTTAATTATTTAATTTTATTTATTCATTCATTTAATTTTATCAGAGAGACACACAGAGAGAAAGAGGGAAAGTGAGAAAACAAGCCACCAGGTCCAGGACTCGAACCATGGCAGGCCACGTGGGAGTGTCCAGCACTTTAACTACCATGCTACCTGTTGGCCTCGTCTTTCTTTTTTAAAAATTTGTCACTGTATATGTGTGCTCATGGGGTGGAGGGAAGAGAATGAGAGAGAGAGAGAGAGAAAGAGAGAGAGAGAGAGAGAGAATCCTCCAGGGAGGATTGAGAAACTGGAATCCCTTATCCTCTGTTCTCTTCTTGGAATTTTGGGCACACACACATGCCTGTTTTTTTTTTTTTTTTTTTCAAGCTACCAGATCTGAGATTTGAATTGCTTAGTCAGCTTTATGGGATCAAGCTGCCTTAACCATCACACCACTGGCTGGTCACTTCCCTTCCATTTCTTCAGGTGATTTTTAAATGACTTGTTTTTTTAAAGAGTTTATTTATTTATTTATTTATTTGGAGAGGTTTTTGCTATAGGGCGCGTGCGCTCACCAGACAGACAGAGACAGAGAGACAGAAAGCAAGAAATCACCCCCTAGGGGGGATGGCCACACCGCAATCCCTTCTTCTCCATTCTCCTCTTGGGATCTTGGGTGCACACGCACACACACCCAGCGTGAGTTTGAAGCCACCAGGTCCGGGACGCGAACCACGGTCGACTACGTGGGAGTCCAGCGACATAGCCATTACGCCAACTGCTGGTCCCTTTAAATGACTTTTTAACTGTGCAAGTAATAACATGAATATACATGTCTTATTAAAATGCAAAACCTTAGGTTATCAAGTGTACTACCAAAAAGAGGTACAGAAATTTTCTTATATTTTTAAAAATGATTCCTCTATCCTTAGTTATGTTTCTCTTCTGGGTCTTAAAGACTGAAGTATGTTTGTCCTTCTTAAACATCTTCATTGGGGTATCAGTAGGTGACGTGGAGATTAAACCACTGGATCCCACATGCCGACTGCATGGTTTGAGTCAAGTCACGCAGGTGTGTGTGCATGCGTGCCCGGAATCCTGAGAGGAGGAGGAAAGAAAAGGGATTGCAGCATGGCCATCCTCTCTGGGGGGTGATTGCTCACTTTCCTTTTCTCTGTCTCTCTCCAGCGAGTGCAAATACCTTATAGCAAAAAACTGAAACAAACAAAAAACTTCATTGGTTCACTATTGTCTAAATAATGTCATGACAGTTGGTGATCTCCCTGATCTGACTCCACCGTGTTGAGGTTAGATCTGAAAGGATTACTCGCGTTTTCTCTGTGTATTTCCTTGCCCCTTCCCGATTCTCTGAGTCGTTTTACTCCTCTAGTCCTTGATGAAGCAGAAACGAAGATTGTCCAAACCCATTCTTATATGAGCCAGGGAAGTTTGCCCTGGGTGTGCCGACAAGGCCAGTTTCCCTAAGGGACTAGCTAGGCTGTGCTGGGAGCTCAGCGCCAACAGAGGGGAAGCAAGGGTGTGCTTGTCGTGGGCAGGGCTACCTGGGGTGGCCGTGTAGACTGTGCGACGGAATTCCAAGTTCATCTAGTTTAGCAACCCATTTGACAGGTGGAAAACCGAGGCCCCGAGAGGTGGGGTGACTCGCCGTAGGCACGGCTATCAGGAAGTAGAGCAGCAGAGCTGGCACTCGACTCTAGGCCACTGCTCCTGCTCTACCTCGTCCCGTGACTGCGCCTGCGATCACTCTGTGCTAATGCTTCGCATTGAATTAGGAAAGGCAGTGGCTTCCGGAGGACGCAGATTACATTTCATTTCCTTGTTTAATCCTCTGTGCTGGATACTCACCAGTTTGATTTATTGTTTGTTTTTGTCATAAGGCACATGTACTCACCAGAGACAGAGAGAGGGGAAAGTGAGAAATCACCCCCAGGGTAGTAGCCACACTGCAGTTCCTTCTCCTCCTGGGATTTTGGGCATGCACGCACATGTGCCCAGTGGGATTTTCAGGTTGCCAGGCTGGGACTCAAACCGTGGTCAGTCATGTGGGAATCTAGTACCTTAACTAGCCACCATGCCATCTGGGGCCCCAATACTTAAGAGTTTTTAATTCATTAATCAATTGGCTGAAATCTTCAGAAAGTTTTTTTTTTTTCCCTCACTTTCTCTCTCTCTCTCTCTCTCTCTCTCTGTGTCTCTCTGGTGAGCACATGTGCCCTGTGGCAAACTGAAAATCAATCAATCAATCAATCAATCAAATTAAATAATTCTTTTTAACAAACTATTTAACTTTATTTATTTATTTATTTATTTTAATTTGACCAGAGAGGGATGGGGAGGGAGGGTGGGAGTGAGAAAGCAAGCCATCAGGTCCCGGACTGGAACCACAACCATGTGGGAGTCCAGCGCCCTCAATCACCTGCTGGCCCCTAAATAAATAATTCTTAAAAAAAAAAAAAAACTTATCAATAAATATGTCTCATCCTGGGAGCCTGCAGGTGGCATGGTTACTTTCTCACTTTCCTTTTCTCTCTCTGTCTCTCTCTGGTCAACTTCAAAAAAGATTTAAAAAATAATAACAATAAATAAAATTAAATAAAAATAATTCTTTAAAAAAATATATGTCTCATCCCATAAAACTGTTAAAGCTCAATCAAGACAATCATGGTGAGAAAGACCACTCAATACCTTTGTTTCTTTGGAAGCCAGCACTGAATGTTTTAAATGACCAATTTCCTTCATAATGATGCTTTAGAAAACCCCAGCTGGTACCTACCGCTTCTTCTGCATCTGCCAGCTGACATCCTAAAAATGAAGTTAGATTAAGGAAAGACGGCCGTTCCCTCGCGTCGGAAGCCCAGCAGGACTGCATAATAAAATATCTGTAAGAGCAATGGGATAAGGCCAAGGTGAGGAAATCTGAGGGAAACCGATCCCTTCCTATATGAAGAAGTACCATTTACACGTGTGGAGCGACATGTTTATGGCTTGTTTGTTTCATGACAGTTACTCTGTCAGATGCTGAACTCATATCAGAAAGGAGAAATTAGATGTGGACAGAGTGCACTTGAAGAAATATGAAATTAGGTAGGGGATGGAGTCTATCACTGTCACAGTCCCTCAAGCAAGGGAATTAAAGCCTACAAGCATGTGTCTTTGAGGACAGGAGAGGTTCTGTTTTGTTCAGACATCCCAAATCAAAAAGAAAGAGTTTTCTTTTTCTTTTCTCTTCTTTCTTTCTCTCTTCCTTTTTTTTTTTTTTTGAGATCACATTAACCTTACATTAAGTTTTTTTCTTTTATTTTAATTTGACCATAGAGGGGGAGGGAAAGAAAGAGAGAGTAAGCCACCAGGTCCGGGACTCAAACCACAGTTGGCCATGTGGGAGTCCAGCGTCCTTAACCACAGTACCACCTGCCGGTCCCAGTTTTTGCCTTTTTTTTCTTTTTTTCTTGAAAGGTTTTTGCTATAGGGCGTGTGTGCTCACCAGACAGACAGAGACAGAGAGACAGAAAGCGAGAAATCACCCCCCAGGGGGATGGTCATGCCGCAATCCCTCCTCCTCCATTCTCCTCTCGGGATCTTGGGCACGCACGCACATGCACCCAGCGTGCGTTTTAAGCCACCAGGTCCGGGACGCGAACCTCAGTCGACTACATGGGAGTCCAGTGACGTAGCCATTACACTAACTGCTGGTCCCAGTTTTTGCTTTTATTAAAATCATGCATTTGGAAGTAGACATACTGTACATGTCTGATTTCAACCAAGCTAGAGTATGATTTCAACTTACATGTCTTCTGTGGCATAAAATGGCTGATCCATTTTAAATCCACTCTGAATGAGTTTGTAGAAGTTAGCATCAACCGGAATGCCAGGGTAAGGATTCACACCTGAGAAAAATATTAGAGATGTGTAACCATTCACCCATTTCTTCATTTGTTTGCTAGTTTATTCATTCAGTCAACAAACATGTTTTGAGAGCTTCCATGTGCCAGACAACGCATGGGGCCAGGGCTGCAACTAAAAAAAAGCTAGGGTTCCTACTCTTTTATTTTTTTCACTTTATTTCTTTGTATGAGAGTGAAAGAAGCAATCTCAACAGGATCTCCTGCCATGACCACCCCCACAACCTTCCTGGCCACTAGGGCCATGAGGCGGACGTTCGGCAGCTGGACAGGGAAAGGGACCCCAGAGCTTCCCACAGATCCGGCACTGCATGAGCAGCGTGTTACCATTGCACCTCCGAGCTGGCCGGCTCCTGCTGCTCAGCAGGTTACAGGCAATGAGGAATATAGACCTACGGACATCAACAACTCAAAAACAGGGAGGCTAAACCCAGGGAGCTGTGGGAGCATTCGGTGGCACTTCACCCACTCTGACTCAGGAGGGCACGGAGGGTGGGGGTGTGCAGGTGCAGAGAGCAGAATGTGCAAAGCCCAGTGCCACGGGAGGGCCACCAAGTACCAAACATACCAAGCGAGAAGATCTCCCAGAGTAATATTCCGTATGACCAGACATCACTCTTAATTGTGTAGATCCCTTCAAATAAGCTTTCAGGAGCCATCCATTTTACAGGCAGGCGGGCCTGGGTAAAAGCCAAGAGGAGATAATGGTGAGTTTTCCAAGTGCAAATGTAACTCCTCAGCTACTTTAGATAATGAAGTCTATTCTCTCCCTAAGGACTATTTTTTTTTTTTTCCCGGTTATAGGGCTAGTGCACTTGCTGGAGAGCGAGCGACAAAGAGAAGGAAAGAGAGAAATCACCCCTCCGGGGAGGATGGTCATACTGCAGTCCCTTCCCTCCATTCTCCTCTCGGAATTAGGCTTGCATACACCCATGCCTGGCATGATTTTTCAAGCCACCAGGTCTGGGACTGGAACCATGATTAGCCATGTGGGAGTCTAGTGCCTTAACCACGATGCCATCTGCTGGCCCCCTAAGGACATTCAAAATGCTAGATTGAAAAAAACAGATTTCTCGGGAACCAGCAGTTAGCGTAATGGCTATGTCGCTGGACTCCCACGTAGTCGACCGTGGTTCGTGTCCCAGACCCGGTGGCTTAAAACTCACGCCGGGCGTGTGTGCGTGCGTGCCCAAGATCCCGAGAGGAGAATGGAGGAGAAGGGATTGCTGCGTGACCATCCCCCCTGGGGGGTGATTTCTCGCTTTCTGTCTCTATCTCTCTCTCTGTCTGTCTGGCGAGCGCACGCGCCCTACAGTGAAAATCTCTCCAAAAAAAAAAAAAAATCAGATTTCTCAAGTGGAAGTTTTTCACTTTCCAATTAACATTCTAAAAATAGTCTAGGAAAATACATTAAAAAAAAAAAAGACTTATCTTGAACAAAGGCCTGTGCTTGGAATTAGCAAACTGAACCATGGATTGTCATTCTGCACTCAAGACTAGCCCAGAGGTGAGTGGGCTCTAATGACATCAAAGAACCTCCAGTTAGAGCATTTCCCAGAAGAACTGTCATGGAAATCTATCCCTATGAATGTGGGGAGGGAAGTACGTGTGGTCACTTCCAGAAATGGTACCAGGCTGGCTTTTGTGGCTTTAATAACGTCTAGTAGCACGAAAGGGGGTTTTTGCCTCAAGACTGCGTCAGCTGGACAGGCCACTGGGGCAGAGTGTTTTGTATGACTTTTCTTTTTCCTGGGTTGGGAAGCACATTTCTTCTGCTAAGTAAAATCAGAGCTCAAGAACTTCTCTTTGTTTCTTTTTTTTTAAGAGAGATTTTTGCTCTAGGGCACTTGCTGGAGAGACAGAAAGCGAGAAATCACCCCCTAGGGGAGATGGCCATGCTGCAATCCCTTCTCCTCCATTCTCCTCTTGGGATCTTGGGCACGCACACACGTTTGGCAGGAGTTTAAGCTGCCAGGTCCAGGACTTGAACCGCAGTCGACACCTGGGAGTCCAGCAATGTAACCATTACATTATCTGCTGGTCCCAAGAACCTCTCTTTCCAATGCTGTACAAATTGATGAGTTAATTGAACTAAGTAGGCTAGTCCAGTTAGTTTGATTCATTAAAGAAATTCATTATATCTCCGAATGGAATTCATCTTCCCACCTAACAGCCAGCCAGCTGGCAGGGCAGAAACTGCATTCCCCTATATGAGCTGTCACATATTTATGACTTCAGTTATAACGACTGAGGAGTCGAACTTCAATCAAGTAGGATGACTATTTGATTCTGATGGGAATACGGTTTAATTTGATTTGTCACATTTATCCTAGACAAGGTACTTTCATGTTGGTTTTATTGATTTATTGATTTATTCCCACGACAACTCCCTGAGGCAAATGCAGAACTCTCATAGGATATATACACTATACTGGTTCTAACCAGACGCAGATTAAAGTACTCATGTTCAAATCCATGTGCTGTATAATCACTGGTGGTACTTTTCTGTGCCTTAGTACCCTCACTGACAAAGTGAATACCCTGAGGGTGAAATTAATTAATACAAGGCAGAGTCTTTAAAAACTTTATGGGGGGACCAGCAGATGGAGTAATGGCTACGTGCTGGACTCCCATGTAGTTGACTGCAGTTCGAGTCCCAGACCCGGTGGCTTAAACTCACTCTGAGTGTATGTGCGTGCCCAAGATCCCAAGAGGAGAATGGAGAAGAAGGGATTGTGGCATGACCATCCCCCCAGGGGGTGATTTCTCACTTTCTGTCTCTCTGTCTCTGTCCTTTTGGCAAGAGCACGTGCCCTATAGCAAAAACCTCTCAAAAAAAAAAAAAAAAAAAAAAAAAAAAAAAAAGAAAAAAAATTTATAGAAAGCTTGCTGGAACTTGCAGAATACAAACAAAAATGCATACATTTCTGTTTTTTTCCTTCAAAATAGACTTGTTTTAATTCCCTTTTTCTTTTCTTTTCTTTTCTTTTTTTTTTTTTTTTTTTTAAGGTTTTTGCTATAGGGCATATGCACTAGCCAGAGAGAGACAAAGAAGGGAGAGTGAGAAATCACTTCCCCAGGGTGAATGGCCATGCTGATATCTCTTCTCCTCCATTTTCCTCCTGGGATTTTGCATGCACGTACACGTGCCTGACAAGATTTTTCAAGCTAGGTCTGGGACTTGAACCATGGTGGGCCACATAGAAGTCCAGCACCTTAACCATGATACTCCCTGCTGGCCCTTTTTTTTTTTTTTTTAATTACCAGAGCCTGAGTAAGTTTGCCAGAAAGAGAGAAAGTGAGAGGGAAGGCACTCACCCATAGGGCATGGTCATGTCTCCATCCTTTTGTAAAGCACTTAGAACAGTGCTTAGCACGTGGGAAGCATTATATCAGGATTTGTTTTTTATTATTTCACAAGAAAGGACAGTAACATGAGAAAAATGAAACAAACAGAGAGAGATTTTTCCTATAGGGTGTGTATGCTCACCAGAGAGGCAGAGACAGAAAGCAAGAAATCACACCCTCCCTCCATGGGGATGGCCACACCATAAGCCTTTCTCTACCATTCTCTTGGAATTTTGGGAATACAAATACATGTGCCTGGCACATTTAAACGCACCAAGTCTGGATTTGAACCACAGTTGACTACCTGGGAGTCCAGCGACACAACCATCTGCTGGTTCCTGTTCTTTTTTTTTTTTTCTTTTGGAGAGGTTTTTGCTATAGGGCACGTGCGCTTGCCAGAAAGACAGAGAGAGACAGAGAGATAGAAAGCGAAAAATCACCCCCCCGGAGGGAATGGCCATGCCACAATCCCTTCTCCATTTTCCTTTCAGGATCTTGGGTATGCATGCACACGTGTCCCGCGTGAGTTTAAGCCGCCAGGCCCGGGACTCAAACCATGGTCAACTACATGGGAGTCCAGCGACATAGCCATTATGCTAACTGCTGGTCCC